TGTATGCGAACAAAGAGGGTCACCGTTTCTTCTCAACTTATATCAATATAGCGCGTATCAGGTAAATTGCACACTTTGCTCTCGCGAACAGCCATCGCGTCGACGAACACAAAAAGATATGATACTTTGGCCAAAATTAAATATGAAGCAACAATTGCCGCTACGGATAAGTGGATTCGATGTAATGCGAAAGAATATCATGCGGTGCTACATCGTACAAACAAGATAAAATAAACGAGAGATATTACAAAAATTTCTATTTTAAAATAATATATCTTTTATATATCTTTTTTTCATAACGTCTCCAGTTTAGTTCATTTCTTCTCGAACATATTTGCGCGGAATAATTGACGTATCTCGCGCTGAAGACAAAATAATTTCATCATAAATGATATATTTTGTGATATATCGCTCGTGTAATTAGCGAAATTCATTCCTTCTAGGAATTTCGAATTTATCGTGATGTGCGATAAATTATAATTTTCTATTATTTACCGATGAATTAATACGACTAGTAAAGTTTGAAAAACGGCTAATTATGATTTATTTCTGCTCTTTGCTCGCGAATTCATGAACAAATATTCCACACACACACGTCTAGACAGCAAAATTTTTCCCGATGTCGCTTTTATTTTCGAAAGAGACTCAGTTGATTTACTGGAATCATCGTCAATTAATATAACGAGCTTACGAGTTAAAGAGAAAGGCACATAAGTCATTTTGCCATCTTTGGCACTCACATGTACATCTTTTCATCGATCAATTAAGCGATACAACAATTAATAACATTCGGTACACTATTTGTGATATTATTACGAATAGATATAGGTACCCAAATAAAGACAATTCTCAATAAACACAATTTATCTAAATAAACGCAATTTTCTTTATATTAATCTTTTCATTGTAAAATGAAGCTTCTTGTAATAATTGTCATTAATGATTACAACGGTACGGTTACAAATTATGTACAAAAAATATCAAAAGGTATTATTTTGACGTGAAACAAAAATTATCTGATTCGTTCGCATATGAATAAAAAGAACGAAAATCTGATAATAGTAGCGAACCAACTGCTGTCTGTAAACCTAATTAACAAATCAGAGCTTCGTCTATTTTCTCTTTCCTAATATATATAATAGATCGCCGCTCGTGTTGTATCGAGTCACCGTCTATGTATATCGATATCCTGCCGACACTCTTGCCCAACAGAAGTTTCCGCTTTCGATGATGGAATAGAACACAATTTCTCTCGGATGTAACGAACTCTCTACGATGTAGCGAGCTCTGTTCATGTACTATGTGCCACGTTCCCGCCGTGGTTTACCATCTTCTACCGCGGAAACGTGTATCGAACCATACGGTCGTCAACTGAATTGGGACACGCTTCAGTATATGTACATGCTCGTTATCTCGAAGAACCATTAAACCTCCGCAATTATGATTAAATTTAGATAACATGAAATCACTGTAACATGAAATTATCCGAATTTAATTTGAAAAGTAAATTGTATTATACAAATCATATTGTGTAACATATTAATTACACACGACGAGGGGGAGAACGTTAATTATATTTTCTGTTATTTTATTTACACGAGGAAGAATATATAGACACGTAGATTAATGCTTTGCATTTTCTTCTACGTTTTTGCGAAAGTTAAACCATAGATAACGAAAGGAGTCGCTTACGGGGAATTCCCAGATGTGCGAGTGCTTTCGAGTTATCGATTAATCGTGGGATCCTTCTAGAACTCCAGCGTGACGTGCGAAGAGTATCGTGCAACAAGTACCTTAGCGATAAATGGTAGTTCCCTGAGGGCTCTGTAATTTGAATCCTCGCAAGAAACGGTCCCCGAGACTATACCCATGTCTCGTTTGCACAAACCACTAGCGCAACAAGTTATCCGAAGCCGCCGCTTTATATATGTATATCGACTTTAGCAATCGGCAAACTCATTCGGCGGAACCAATCAGTCTTTGAATAATTCAGGAAAGTTCTCTTACGTGTCTCACGACGCGACGCGACGCGACGCGTTTCGGCTTTTGAAAAATCTTCGTAATGGCATGGATAATCGTAGATGCAAATGAGGAAAAATGTTATTATATATCGCCGTTGCATAAATATAAACGAAGAGATAATTTATCAAGAAACGACAGGTCAGGATTAATGGCAGCATGATGACCCGCGGCAGTCTCGCGTGCACATGAATATGAGAGATCGTATAAAATTCGCGGTCAGTGGGGCACGAAAAAAAAGAATAGGAGGAAGGTCGAACGGTAAAATGTTGATGCACGTACCGGCTCGCGTGATAGTGGAATACAGGTGGTTTCACAGAAAGAAATCGAGTGAAAATGGATAAAAGAGGCAAACGGAAGGTCGGCATCGATTGTTTCAGCATACCTGCGCTGACACCGTAAAAAGAAACGTTCTTTAATCTTATTCAAATATATCCTTTACAAATTTCCTATGAAACGCGATTATCTGCTTCGATAGGTCTGTTGTTTCCCTGAAGACGAACGACTTTACTGTCCATTTCGCAAAATATCATCGTGTCGTTTATAAACCGTATAAATCGCGTAAACGAATACGCGGTAAATTGCGTTTTATATAACTCAAGACTTGAGGGAAGTGCTCGGTAATAAAATGCAGGGGACGCGATCGCTAAATAACACACGATTATGCATTTGCAGAGATTTATTATTCCGTCGTGTATACCTCTCACGGATTGCTCTTCACTCATCCACACTCATTAATCATAAATGGGAGAAACTTCCGAATCGTTCCACGTCAAATTGATCGACAAATTAAAATTTGATCGCTAATTTAGAGCTCAGGATGTATGTCAACGCGTGCTGCACGAACACATCTATTAATAGCATTTCAGTTTTTAACATTCCTAAATTTTGTGCGGTTCACTTCATGACAAGAGGTATCTTTGGTATCTTTTTACAATTAGCAAAATAGCTAGGAAACAATCCTAAAACAATTTATAAAAACAATCACGTTTATATGTTATGCAATAATTAGCTCTTTTTTTTTAATGCATTTTAATCTTTTAAGAACATTACCTAAACTAAATTGCTGATATATGATAAAGTGAATGAAGACGCAAAAGAAAAAGAAGCATGGATTAAATAAAAATTAAAACGGGCGTTTCTATAAAGATTTCAGATCTGCAGATAATTTATTAAAAAATCGATATAGAACTTTCTAAAGGTAAAAACCTACATAATCTCGATAGAACCTCTTAACTCGATATAATCTATTAAGAAGCCGCTTGAAATAAAAAAGAAGTTCTCTTACCGTCGCTTTTTTCGATGAGATTTTCATTTCGATTTCTATGCTCTATTGAAATATTTGAAATATTTGCCTGCTCTGATTTCGTATTATTACTACATATTAGGTCAAAGTATTTGTATATTATACGATTTACCATATATATTAGAACGTACGATGTAATATAGGAAATACAATTGATGAAATATTCGATAAATTCTTGTAAATATCTATGTAACGCATGCAATCACGTACATGAGAACGCATGGAGGAATTCTGAATGAAATTCTCCGTTCGCCATATTTGCGGAATAGAAAATGTGTTGCGAAGTATAATAGAATGTGTTTGAAAGGACGGCGGTTTTATGAAGATTAGATTTTATCAGAATTTAGGATTTTAATGGGATTATTTGCGTTCCGCTGCTCGTTATGCAGTAGAAATTACTGCATTACTATTTCGAAAACAAATTGGAGCAGTCAACGAAAGGTGAAGTTTATAAATTTCAAGTGCGAGTTTAATGTTATGCAATATCGGCGCAAAAGGTTTATTTAACTGAATCAACAGTCGTAAATTATAGTTAATTTTAGAAAGATGTTTAAGAAAGTCTAATCTGATTTAACGCTTGGACTGGACAATTTCGTCAATGTGTATACCATGATGTTTTAATTATGGTTTGGATCCCGACTGAAATTGTAGCCGAGCGACTATTAATAGTCGACGCTGTAAGATTCAACAACAGTGAACGAGGTCATCTTTTCCCTTCGTCGCGAGACGATAGGCTAGCTATCTAGGAATTCCAGCAGCCGCATCTCGCAAATCGTATCGACGTGCGTCTACTGGAAGATACGCTAATGGTCGATAATGGAACTACCGCGGCACCGTCAAAATTAAATTATGTCACCCGGCAGCTGCTTGTCGCTACGATCCGCAAAACAATATGTGGCGGAAAATACGCATTTTCGAACACGTCGTGAAATAGATGATGCGAGTTATGAGAGACTTCCTTTTATTTCAGATCAAAGAGCGTGTCATATTAAACGTGCTTTAATTTATAATATGATAATATATTATATATGCAATCAAAGAATTCTATAACTCGTTTAAAAAAAAAAATCCTGCGACACGTGTAAATTCCTTGCATCGAAAGATTTAAATACTTGTTCAACCATTTACCTTGAAAACATTTTACGTTACTATCGTGAAACGAAAAAATTGTATCTTTTTAATAAATTTAAAATGCATAAAAGAGTCGTAAGATTGTCCTTGCATAGAAGTCCAGTTTATATCTACTTTTTTGAAGTTGAAAGGATTCAGCGATCAGCGTCACCATAACTGCACATGAATCGTTGAACATTCAACTACAATATGTGACCTTTTGCATGTTCGTCCTTGACCATCTAATTTAACTTGCGTTACATGTCGATATCTATATATGATATTATAATATAATGCTAATGACAGGTGAGTTGAAGCGTACCGCTGAAGATAACATCATTTGCTATGTGCCTGCCGTAAATATGAAGTTCCCTTGATATCACTTCACATGATATGCAAGTTATTTTTCTGATAGAATTGTACAATGAAGCGACTGAGATAATGACCAAGTGGCACAAACAATTTTACAGCAGGCTTTATGTTCCTTTATGTGTGCAAAGGAAATTTAAGTAAATTATGTATTATAAAATAATTTATATTAATTAAAATTATGTATGGCTTTTAGATTTTTCAGTCAGATTCGTTATGATGTCGCACAAGAGGAGCCGGAAACCCAACGAAGTCGACAAATTCACTTGAATTGAATTCTTCTTTCACTTAGGAAGAAATTCCGAACGCAAAAAAGGAAAATAAATAAAGCACAGGGAGGAAGAGGAGGAATGGGCCCTTGGGCCTTCGGCGTACCTCTTGTGTCAACTTTGGGCCTTCTCCTGAATGGTTACATTCTCCTTGTCGTTTTCGGTCTTGGTAAACAGGTGAACAATATCTTTAATATTAATAACGCAATATCTTTAATATTAGCGATGCTCATGAAATTTTTCTCTATTCTCTTCCGTTTCTGTTTTCATATCTTTTTTCATTGTATTTTTAATCGCGAATCAGGATAGCATTCAGTCAAACACAACATGTTGTGAATAATTTCGAAGCTGCCCGTGAACGCATTATTTATTTTAGCAATATTATTGCAATCACTCGTGTCAGAAATACTACAAATTCAGGAGACACGTGTAGACTGCTCTCTTGAATGTAAATTAGTTGAACTTTTCTGGCATTTCGGCCAGAGAGTTCATGATATTAAATCCGTTAAAAGCATATCTGGACTGGAACTACGAGTTTCAAAAAAGAGAAAGAGAAAAAAATAAATTCTTCGAAAAATATGTACGCATGGTACGCTCGACGAAGCTTATTTATTTATCGAGATAAAGATGCGAATTATGACTTTTTATAAACGACAGCGCGGATTTACTTATTTGCTTCCGCCTGCTTTCAAGTTTCTGAAATACCATTGAATATTCTCATCCCGAGAGAGAGAGAGAGAGAGAGGAGGAGGGGAAAATGAAACTTTTAGATGATTGAGACCCTTCAGAATCTTAAATGATAGAGCAAACAGGAAGCAGAGTCCGCGTAAATAACACATAAAAAAATTGTCGTATCAGTCTATTAAAAGTTTAAATTACCAAGTCTCGCCGGGCATTGAAATTTGCGATAACGTGACAGAATTGTGGCATTTCAAGTCATATCACAATGTCCACAGACGCAGCAGCAGCAAACGGCAAACACTTTACTGCTGATCCATTTGGGTGCCGTGGAAGCGGCGGTGTGCCTGATATTGCTGATCTTTGCAACCGGCTCGTGGCCGCTTACTGGTACGTGGTGCGTCCTTTACGGATTTCTACTGGCGCTGTTACATCCGGTTGCCCTTTGGACCGTCACCGGTTTAAACTGCGACAGGTGAATCTTACATATTCTCTTTCTAATATCGCTGCACGATACCCGGAGAATCGAAGACTTCCGATGAATGAAGATCAGTATCAATTTCCCGTTCAATTCATTGCTCGCTTCTGCGGCTCCTCAATAAATGGTGCGTCAAGTGAATGAGATTGACATAAAGAGAATATCTGTTAATCATTACGTTCAGATCAATCACGTGTAAAATCACGTTTTATATATAATTCATATTTGAAATTCTTGCTTTGCGCAATTCGAGAATAATATATCCTATGTATTTCCGATCAAAATACATACATTATTTAATATATAACGATTCGATAAAATTATTCTCGCAATACCACTTACTGGTTAATTACTCGGAGAATTTTTTTACATTGTTCAAACTATAGACAACGTGCACACTTCCAGTTACACTGAAATACCGTTTGAAATAGAATTTCACACCGATAAAAGGAAGAACGTCATTGTCGCTTGAGTAAATCGACGAAGAATCTGAGAGGTTCTTCTTGTGAAATTTTTCGATAAAAATCGAGTTCAATCTCAATATACGACATATATCGAGTAATGAACGAGGCCTCGGTTTCATCTGACACAAAAGACACCGAGATATGCGACGTAAGATGTCAAATAAGGATTCTACGAGTTCAAATAGTATCATCGTAGCTGTCAGTTGACATGAGATGTTCGTTCGCCTTGTCGTTCCATCTCTACTTGTTGCTCATCCCCTCACCGTCAGACTTGCATTAACAACTATACAATTTTTAAACCGTACAGCGAATCTGGAATGCGTCAACTGGAATAATTTCATTTCTTTGATGTAAATATGTATTATACTCGAATAATTTTAAGAGCGATTTCGAAAATCTTATTAAGATTTCGTATTTTTCTTTCTGTACGCGAATCTCTGTGAATTCCATTGCATCGCGCAGATCCTTTTAAGAAAATATGGAAGAAACGCGCTCGAGAATACGAAAAACTTCTTTTCCGTTTTATTCTTTGCAAAAAGTCAAGCTCGACCGTGGCTCAATCGACCGTATATTTTATTCAGTAGTTTAAACAGATTTACTACCACCTCGTTTATCACTTTCTGACTCTCCTCTGAATTTTCTCATCATGGAAAGCGTTGCTTTATTGAAAAGATTCATCAATTTTTTTTTCAAAAACACTGGTTATCCAGCGATGACATCGTGCACGTCTTACGTATATCACCGAGCATATCACTTAAGTTGATTAAGTGACAAGCCAGAATTAACGAGTTCATTCGAAATCGTTAGACGCTCGATCGAGTGTAAAACGACATTGGCATCCCACATTGGCATCTGAATTGTATCTCGTTTTTGCCAGCCACGCCTCGCAATTATACTCTCTGCAGGTATTACGCGATCGCTGCACCGCTTCACTACGCCGCTTTGGTCTCTCCACGTCGCGTGGTCGTCGGGCTGGCTGCCTCTTGGACAGGCGCTCTACTCCTGTGCTTGCCACCGTTCTCGGGTCTGGTGCCACCTTATAGGTTTGTATGTATATATGTATTACGCCATTAACCACCACACCAATGAACCAGCATTTGCAGCGCGTTTGCTTGCGCGTTCTACGGCATTGCCTCGCAATTGCTGCATTTCCTCGCATAATAAACGAAATTCGATTTACTTTGTGTTCTATCCTTTCGTCAAAGTCGTTTTGCGTCGCATAAAGACTCTCACTGCGAGATCATTTCCGCGTCAGCTTCTCGCGACACGTGTCCGCAAGAATTCTCATTCGGACCGAAGCTTTTGCCGGCGACGAGTTAAGTTTAAAAAAAAAAAATCGAAATAATACATACAAATAATCTGTTTGAAAACAAACACGTCTGTTCTTTCATTTACTTTCAATCACGCAGTCATTTTTAAGTTGACACTCTTTTTTTCGGTATCCCGTATCGATCAGCTATAATAAAGAATTGGGTTGCTGCGCCCCGGATTTCGGGAACAGCACTTGGGGATCCGCCGCGGCGCTCTACGGCGCCGTTTATGCCATCCTGGGCCTGGGACTGCCGGCCGTCCTCGTGACGGTCTGCAATTTACGCGTATTGGGTATAGCGCGGTACCATCGACATCGTATCGCCAGTGCGATCTACGAGGTCACCCTGAGCGCCCAGGTGACCATCACCCATCAGAGAAATCCATTTTTCGTGCCAACCGTCACCGCACCTTCCGCCGGCGGACCGCCGCGTTTTCACAGCGCTGCCAGCACGGTTTGTACAGACGGTTTAAAATTTTTTTAATTAAAAAATATTTTGAAAAGTTTTAAAAAATCCAACATTGATGACGTGACATATATAAACAAATATTCTACTGACGTGCATCAAAATGTCTTCGCAATATTACTTGATTCTGCGGTTAAAATCAAATCTTTAATAAGAACATCTAATCAATTTAGCTTTTGTCAAGTTACCTGATTTAAGCTAATAAAGCTAATGAAAAGCACCCGTAGTTAAAGACTAATTTGTAATTTAATTTTCTGCCCCGGAGTTAGCAAGTCAAATCGATAGACGCCACGCTGGGAGGCATCGTCGAAGTACATACCAAAACTTTCTCGTTCGCAACGTCTCGTGATTATGGACCACCGTTTAATTTCTATTCGAGAACTCGATCCGGCAATTTTCTAACATAATTTAGTTAAAGTTTGATATATTAATAAATCGACACACGTTTTCATTGCTACAAAGATAAATAGCTTCGCGCTGTGTTGTGAAACGATTATTGCCAATTCTTGTCTCAGTTTCGCATACGACAACTTTTCAGGTGATGCAACTGGTTGGCTCTTTGTACCTGCTCTATTTTCCGTATTGTGGATTTATTCTCTGGGAAGCTTGTGGCGCCGGTAATCAGCACCGTCTTCACGCACACCCTAAGCTGGCCTCTTTAGCGTCGCTCCTCCTCGCGTGCTCACCACCCATCAACGGCCTTCTTTACGGTTTGAAATCGCAGACCCTGCGACGGTCTGTGCAGAACTACTGGCGGAAAAAAGCAACTAAGTCGGAATTACAGCAGGTAATTTGAAATGCGAGAAAAATGAACACTCGTGAGAGTACTTGTGCGTCGAGCGAAGCGAAGGACAGTAGTAATTTACAGTTTACGGTTATTATTGCTCTTGTGTCCTATTACATCCCTATACTCGTATATAACAACATGAGAACAATTGTAAATCTGTTTTAGGAGATACAAGCGAGAACACCGAGCGTCGCGGGATCCAGGAGACCTTCTGGCAGTGGAAACACTTCCTTCTTCCCATTCCCTCCTTTACAGCGAAGGCTCAGCGAGGCATTATTGGCTCTCGGCTCGTGCAGAACTGGAGGTAGTTTTGAAAGCAATAATCTGGGATTCCAGCGCGGCAGATTACAACCTGCTGTCTCGTGTAACACTCTCAGAGTGCCGACCGCTGAATCAGGTACAGATTCCTTGCGACTGATACTATCAAGATAAAATCTATCAAGATAAATAGTTTTTAGTTCCTCTTAGTTCGCAACTAAAACCGGTGTTTGAGGTCCTCGCAGTTTAACGCGAACGTCTCTATAAAAAAGAAAGACCTCTTTCGAAAGCGAAATGAATGAAATCTTTTGAAAAACCCTCTTGATCCTTGATGGATAAACGTTTCGACACTGATATAAGCGTCATCCTTTCATCATGGCGCGCCAAGGTGAACCGAGCAAATTGGTGAGGGCGAGCGCGAGTGCCGCCAGTCTGATGGGTCCCCATTATCGGAGCGACTTTATCGGGGCGGATTTGGGTGCGGAATGCTCCATAGCTATGTGCGAGACCCCGAAGAGGAGCCCGAGGATCCTCATAACGCGCGCGTACAGCGAGGAGAGCCAAGACGGAGGCAGCCCCCTTCTGAGAAAATTCCTCAATTCCAATATTAATCCACCGCCGTGCGAAAGTACGTCACATTTGTAGTGTGTGCATCCATCGCATTTGCAATTCTGAAATAAAATCGCGTCTTTTAAAACTTATCACGTCTCTAATTCACGTTTCTGACGCGAATTTCTCATTTTCTCTTCCATCGAAAATCTCGCGGTTTGGCATAATATCCTCTTTATAAGCGAAAAGACATTAAGTAAGCTCAACGTGTAACGTCGCTCAACGTGGTGTTCACCGTTAGTTTCATATAGAGATTTGCAAATGAATAGATCGTCGAAGTAACTGAGTTACTTCTAACCAGATTAATGTTTGACCTTATTTAAGAGATATCTCATTTATCGCGCGTGCACAGAACGTCGATGGCGACACTGCAGCACCGGAAGCGAGAGCAGCACGGGAAGTAGCGATGCGAGCGTATGGACCACCGGCGTGGTTCCAAAGTACGGCAAGGGTAATGCGAAGAACACGGATGGCTGGTCCTCACGTACGCGATACGTGCGCGGCAAGAATTTAGAAGAAGGCGCATTGTCAACTACAATGAGGCCGAACAATAACAGCGAAAGCAGTGATACCACGGATACAACTACAGCCACGACAACAACCACCACGCTGCTTAAATCTCTCGCTGTGGTAAGTGATGAAATTAATTCAAAACGTTAATTCATTCAATACCTTTCATTTTATACAGTTGTGCAATTATTTTAAATAATTATCTATCTTAAATAATTATTTAACGATTATCGATATATAACGACATAATAGAAAGATCATAATGGAAAGATAAAATAATCGTGAAATAATCATCGCTTTGTATTCTTTAATACATCATTCGATGCACAATTCAATTCTAACTTTAAACACAATTAATTATTCGACTTCAGGAGACTGGCGAACAGAATGAAAGAGAGAAGGAAAGGATGAATGATAATATAAAGAAAAGAGAGTTTAGCGAGAGTGAAAGCAGTTGGAGCAGTGTTGAAGAAATTGAAACCAAGGCAGAGAGAAATGATGAAGACGACAATCCTGACAGGTCGAAGGAGGAAGACTCGCAAACGAGACCTTCGCGACAAAAGTCGAAAATCAGTAATCGCGATCCCGACGTTTCCGAGGAGGATGCGCAACTGAGGCCACTTCTAACTCCCTCATCTTAAAGCCTATTTCTTAAATGTATTTTCTTTTGAATAATTCGTCGTTTCTGTGTTGTGTGTGTGTGTGTATGTGCGTGTGCGTGTGTGTATGTGTGTGTATGTGTGTGCGCGCGCGAGAATAAAACAAAATTTTCACTGTACATTAAAGCGACACTGATACACGTTTATTTCGTGAATTTGCAGAAATAAAATTAGCCGGTAAATTGCGATAAAATTACTTTGATAATTTGCATTTAACAAGTGTCATTCGTGTTTGCAATACGAGAAGAGGAAGTTCATATAATTTGCCCAAAGTTTATATTTTGTAAATTGATCTCAATCATCTCTCACATGTCCTACCTAACGTTGTAAAAAGTTTAAAAAAAAATATAGATTTGATCTTTTCAGATCTTTATGCTCGATGTGTTGATATCGACATATCGTGAAATTATATTTTTGTACTCTCACTCTGCAACACTACGTGACGCAACAATGACGTGAGACCATTCTTTACAACAAAAACCGAAGAACTGATTAATACACCGTCGACAAACTCAATTTCAAGAAATTTATTCGCTCATTCCGAAGAATTAATCAACGATCATTTCCGATCAAATACCGATGAAAGTTTACGTCAGTGATGAATTAACGAAAACTCGTTATCTACGAAAGTTACGGTCCAATTTATCTTTAATTTGTCGAAGCAAGTCATAGAAACTCGTGAAAGAGCAAAGAACAACGGACAAAGTCGAACACCCGAGAAAGTTCTCTCGACAGAAAGTGGTAAACGTGGAATCAAAGACGCGAATATCGAGATATACTCGAATGTTACTATTTAAGGAAGGAGAAGATAAATCTCACGTTTGTGTCTTTTATAAATGTCAAGTTTCGCTCTGATAATTACAATCGCATGTATCGTGATGTGAATTTCATGTTTTTTTTTATGAATGCGAAAATTATCAGGAATGTAGATAAAATTCCCTAAATTTAAAACTTTTAGAATTAAATATTACTCTTTAAGAACTAAAAATTAAGCCACTCTTTTTCAAGACTGGCTTAATTTTCACTCTTTGGAAATTTCACTCCAAAGAATCTAAAAAGTACAATTAGCTGCTAGCATAAGTAGCCGTTGGAATTGATGACTCCAGAAAATTGCTTAGAGCATACATGTGCAAATCTATGTATATAGATATTTTCAACATTCTCTTTGGATATTGAACGATGCGATCGTGGCCTTTACAGAAATTTAATTTAATACTGACCAATTTAATACTATTTAATAAAAAAAAAAAAAATTTATTTCAAATATTAAAAGTATTAAACGACATTTTTAATATTTAAAATAAGTAATTATTATTGTCCAGTATTAAATTTCTGTAAGGAAAAAACATTTCGATGAGAGATTGAAAAGCATGCAAAAGTCGATCCGTATTCACGTATTTTCTTTACAACTGACACTTACCTACAAACTAGTCTCTCTCATTCCAGGTGTATATATTTAATTTATATATGATTCCACCGATATATATTTAGGAATAATATCAATATATAACTATATATATTATTTATTATATAAGTTAATGGCTGTAATAAAAAATTAATAAAAACTATACGCTTAATGCGACGTAAATACGGATCATCTTCTTTTTCAGTGTTGACTTTATTTATAAGTGATACTGTTGCTAAATATATATATTATTACAGCAACATCTTATTATCTAGTATGTACGAGATTTGATTGTTCCGACGCGTATGTCATAACATCTATGTAATTTCGAATTTGCTAGAATTATTGAGCTGATTTACGAACGGTCGAGCTGCTAATTTAAATTCATCAGACAGAATCGTGCGTTCAAATAATTACTGTTTATCGTTGTCAATGATAAAATTTCTGGAACTTTGTCGGGTGTAAATGTTGTATCGATGTTAACATTACAAAGAGTTGCGGCATAAATAATGTTTGAGTGTATAAAAAATTAGTGCAAATAAAAAAAAATATCAAAAAACGTAAAAAACAATTGTGGTTATAATTTCAAAAATATGAAAAAAAGAGCATAAAGAACCACAGCACAAGTTATAGTTTGTGATATTTAGTTATTCTTGCATTACAGATTACAATAAAAACATTAAACGTTTCGGCCATAATCTGGCCAGCTTCAGTAAAATTAATAATATTCTTAAGACGCAGAGTTATCAAGTTATCAAGAGATAATCAAGTTGGAATAAAATTCAATCGTCGTGTGTTATAATTGTAAAAATCGTGTTTGCATCTTTGCGACGCTGCTTCGTATAATAATGTTAGAACATCAGAAGTCATATAGTGAAAAGTGTAGAACGAGAATTTCCAGATTCTAATTTACAATAATTTATTTTATCATTAATATCTTTTAAACGGAGTATAAAACAAAAGAAACATTACCTGTTTTACAGCAAAAGTAAATCGATGAATCTCAAGTATAATCATTGCACAGATAGAAATTTGTCGTGACATTATGTGTTGTTATGACATTATGGTCGTATTCTATATTTTACCGCTATTTATATCCATGAGTCAAATAGTTTAAAAAGTTCTAGAATTATTTATTAAGTGCGAGAGCGATCTTTCTTTAGAAGAGGATAAACATTAGGCAAACCTTCAGTGTCACTTTGTTTATTGATCCCACTTATTTGGTCTTTAATATGTATCATTTCTGAAATTCTTCGTTTCATTAATGATTGTTCTGTATCTAAAATTTTTATGATATCCCAAATTTTATGAAAAAAACATTTCGGAATTAATTCACACTCTTCTAAATAATGGCTATCCTCTTAAATTCGTATTTTCGACAATTAACAATAGAATAAAAACTTTGGAAAATAGAACTAATCCAGATAAAAATCGCGAAGGAAATAATAACGAATATGATTCCAATAAGAAAAAATTTTTCAAGGATATTTGAGCAAGGTTTCTGAAAAATTCAAAAAACTTGCATATATTCATGGTTTTGATATAGCTTATAAACTGATGAATAAATTGAATAGAATTATAAAAACAGGAAAAAATCCCTTGCTTAAGGATGATCATTGTGGAATAGTTTATAAAATTAAAAACTCGTATTAAAGAACACAAGACTGATATTAAGAAATCTACTTCTGAGATATCAGTTGTTTCACGTCATCGTGTGAATGAGATGCATGAGTTTGATTGGGAAAACATAAAAATTTTAGATACAGAACAATCATTAATGAAACGAAGAATTTCAGAAATGATACATATTAAAGACCAAATAAGTGGGATCAATAAACAAAGTGACACTGAAGATTTGCCTGATGTTTATCTTCCTCTTCTAAAGAAAGATCTCTCTCACACTTAATAAATAATTCTAGAACTTTTTAAACTATTTGACTCATGGATATAAATAGCGGTAAAATATAGAATACGACCATAATGTCATAACAACACATAATGTCACGACAAATTTCTATCTGTGCAATGATTATACTCGAGATTCATCGATTTATTTTTGCTGTAAAACAGGTAATGTTTCTTTTGTTTTATACTCCGTTTAAAAGATATTAATGATAAAATAAATTATTGTAAATTAGAATCTGGAAATTCTCGTTCTACACTTTTCACTATATGACTTCTAACATTATTATACGAAGCAACGTCGCAAAGATGCAAACACGATTTTTACAATTATAACACACGATGGTTGAATTTTATTCCAACTTGATGTAACTCTGCGTCTTAAGAATATTATAAAATTCACTGAAGATGGCCAGATTATGGCCGAAACGTCTAATGTTTTTATTGTAATCTGTAATGCAAGAATAATTAAATATCACAAACTATAACTTGTGCTGTGGTTCTTTATACTCTTTTTTTCATATTTAAAAAAAAAATAACTAAAAATTAAATTCCTAATTTTGCGAAATCTCACCTGTTGCAGAAAGAAGAAATTAATGCAACGCTGTTTCTTGTTCGGTGTATATGATAAAACTCAAACCAGCTCTAGAATCTCATTCGATCGAAGCTTCACACACATTCGTAGGTCCTGTTTCCAAAACGTGTTTCGCTTCTTATACTTTTATTCTGTTACCATATCGAGACAAGTATTCACTGATAGAGTATATGTGTGTGTAACAAGTGATCAAATTTTGCTTCTCATCGTTCAATCTTCATGAATAAATCGCGTTTTTCGTGCAGCCTAGCAAAAATTCGTTGCAAATTTTTCTTGCACTTGGCGGATTCATCACAAAATTTCAGTGTTCGTCCGGGAGTGCAAGTAGCCTGTTTAATTCGATTAAACTTGAGTGCCGGTGGGAATTTGCTGAACACGCATTCGCACGCGGCCGAGCGTTAAGCGTGCGCAGAATATTCATATCTTGCATCAAAGTTTTATACTTTATTCGGAAAAAGATGACAGAGAAAAGTTCTTTATCATACGCATTCGAATCGCAGGAGGAATGGAGGTACGACGTGTTACATATCCATCGACGATTTTCAAAACTTCACGCAGATATTCATACACACATATATCTTCGACATAAAAGTCAGTATCATCATTCGAAACTTGATCCACACATAAGACTTTATTTCGTAGCTACAGGCCTGTTGCATTGATGTAGTCGCTGCGCAGGCTCGTATCGATTTTGCTCAGCTGATACATTTGCTGCTGCATTTCGCAGTTCTGCTCCGTTTGCGCAACACACATAGGAAATACGTAACATGTTCTTCTGACATTTCAAGTGTAATTATTTTTCGCCTTTGCAGTGTGCAATTATCATTATTATTGCTATTTCGTATCTGTGTCGGTTGATATCCGATAACTGTCTTCCTGTAAAAAAAATCTGTTTACGCATGCGTTCTTCAACTTGTGCCAAGGGCTGAACTCAATATCTTTGTAGTTGAAGAGGTGCTCTGAATTGTACAGGATGTAGCCAATATAATATCGATATGGCGTGAAAGTTTCCGACACGCGCCGGTCGAGAAGTACACGGTCGAGAAGAAGTACGGTCGTAAATGGTGAAAAACGAACGGCATGTCTTCCGAGTGAGTGGATCGATTTTGAATTAATCGTTCGCAGAGTACGGGCGCAAC